GGGAACAGCTGGCCAGTTACATTAAGTAACTTTACTCCAGGCACTAAAGAAAAAATGATGAAAGAACTAAGAGAGGCGGAAAGATTGTTTAGGAGGACAAAATGGGAAGCACGGGTGGCGTGCGCTGCTAATGCGTTGCCTTTCACCAATGCGACCAGGGTTCGAGCCCTGCCGGACTCGATGTCGTATGTGAGTAGAGTTGTTTGTTGGTTCTTTCCTGTGCTTTGAGGGTTTTTCTCCGTGTTCTCCGGTTTTCCTACCTCCTCAAAATATACTTCTCAATTCCAATTCGATCTATGGGCTTGTGATTGTCCCACGATGTGATACAACAGCTAAAGCTTAATAGATTTTAGATTTTAAAAACCGTGCTTTAAGGAACTTGTAGCCCATGGGAAGTTAGTGGAGAAGATGACAAATAACACCTACATTAAGTACAGCACTTTTTACCACCAAAACGTTATGGCAAAAGGAATATAAAAAAGGCGTAAAATATGGAAGAAAAAAGAGGAACTCCTGCAAGTGTCGTTTTTTGAAACTGTTTCCACGCGCGGCGCCCATCAAGTGAGCATTAATCGAATATTTCTGGATTTGCTTTTTTTCAGCTGAGGTTGAATTATCAAGATTGAGCGAGAAACACGAGACGGTTGCTGGTGAATTTAAAAAGATAACTGATTACTTCGTGTTCAAAGCTGAACAAGGCGAAGAGGTATCTACAGGCCAATCTGGTTTCCTTTCGTTTAGTGGCTTCTGTGAAAAAGAGCTGTAGAAAATTTAAAACAGAAACAAAACAGAACAGAAAAATGCAGACCCAAATAAAAAAAACAAAACAAACAAAACAGAGCTAAACGAAACGAAAGAAAAAACAACGAAAACAAACGAAAGAAAACGAACGAAACAGAGCAAAACGAAGCAAAGCAGAACGAAACAAAACAAAACAAAACGAAAAAAAGCAACAAAAAAAACACCAACAATTTTTTTTTTGCAAGTAAACCTACAAGGAACATGTTACAACCGTATCGTTTATGACCCTTTCAGGTCGGTCCTCCGTACTTTTATGGTATTTGGGGACATTTTCTGGAAGACTTCAAGAACTACTGGAAGGTAATCAGACACGTTGCCTTGCCTTGCCTTGCCTTGCCTCGCCTCGCCTCGCCTCGCCTCGCCTCGCCTTCGCCTTCGCCTTGCCTTGTCTTGTCTTGCCTAAACTAACGCTCTTTCACATCTCTGTAGGCTGAGGTACTTCAGATAGCAAAGAAAAAGTTCAGTAAGACAGAACATCTGCAGCAGGTAAGATAATAAATTGTGCACCGACTGTGAAAAAGGTATATTCACTTGATGTTTAGGAAGTGACGCATTAACAAGTACTCAACGCACGTAACGAACAACTGTTGCGCAATAAGCCATTCCGAGTAGGAGGGGAAAACTGGATCGAGTTATCATTGCAGTGTATTGTGGGACTGTTTTAGTAAACGAAATGGACGCCATCTTGGAAATATGGTCCCACAATGCACTGCAATGATAACTCGACCTAGTTTTTTCCTTAACCTCGAACAGCGGGCTAATAGGTTTACAGCAACAGGACCCCGCTATCTAAAAACTCCTTTTGAGACATGAGCTCGATCCCTGTTTGAACATTAGAATAAATAAACACAAGCGAAGCAGCACCATGTTCTGTTTCTGCGGTATTACGAAACGAATTTTATTTTTCGTAAATTTTATTATTCTTTAATAGTTTTTCTAGAAATGCGCAGCCTGCACTTATCATGCAACGTGGAGCTTTTATTTTGGCAGCCAGTAAAATTTGGCATTTGCGCTTAAGGTGCTACATCACTGCATTACAAGATCATTAACATTATTAACTGATTCCCCCTCAGATCAAGGCAATGGCCACGCAGTTCATCAATCGACGTGGCTCATCCTCTAAAGACGACGTTGAGCAAGCTAAAGCCGCGGTCGCACCCAACAAGGTAGCCAGCAAAAAATAAGACACATTCTTGATGTCAAATGACTTAGAGAGGGACAGTTTCTCAAATAAGCCTGAAGCGAGATGACGTTTTACCCCCGACTCTATAGTTTTTAAGATCTTTCATATTAAGATTTTTTTTCATTAGAGAATACAGGAACAATAGTCATAATTAAAGAACAAAAGCAGTGTGTGAAAAGGATTATGGTCTAGAGACGGGGGTAAAACGTCAACTCACTTCAGGCTTATTAGAACGTTTTCCAACAACCGGGGTTAAAAATTCTATTGAGTTTGCTAATATGCTAATGATCTACGTACCGTACTGCCAGCTAA